CGAGGTCGCGAGTGCCCTGACAGTGCCACGACCGCCCAGCGCCCGCGAAGCCCAGCTCGCCTGTCTCGCGAGTGTCGCGCGCCTAGCTCCTGCAATCTGTGCCCGCGAACGGAGACTCGCCCTGCTCGTGAGTTACCAACCATTTCGCACCAGCGAACGAGACCTCACCCAGCTCGCGAGTGTTTTTCCCAGTGCCACCTGCAGTCCGCGCAAACGCGCCCTGTGCTCTCCCTGCACCAAGACCTAGCACAGCTCGCGCCCGCAAACCTGAACTCGCTTAGGTCGCGAGTTTCCACCAGCAACCCGCACACTCGCGACATGGGCGAACTTGCCCGCGAAATCTACTTTACCCGCGAGTGTTGCTCATAAATGTGTATTTTTTAGTGTGTGTTTTGGCTTGAATATAAATAGACTTGAGTGCTTAGTATTTCGGAGAATTCCTTATTTGCAAGAATTTTCTTCTTAGTCTCTCTCTCTCTCTCTCTCTCTCTCTCTCTCTCTCTCTCTCTCTCTTCTTTCTCTAAGGCTCCAATACCCTATTTTTATTATAATATTTCTCCACCAAGATTGCAACTTTCTGGCTTATTTATTTGTGGATGCACTAGAGACTTGGAGACTTTGTTTAAGGTCCAAAGTTTTTCTTGTCTTTACTTATTAGATTTTTGTAGGGTAAAGATAGGAGCTTTCATGAGTAGATTGATCTATCATCCTTGTAGGCTAGGGTTTATGTGATTTTGTTGTTGATTGCATGAGCGGGAATTAATCGCGTACTTGATTACTTGATTCGCGAGTGACTTGTTGTTGATTGCGTAAGCGAGAATTTATTGAGAGCTCGATTGGTTGATTCACGAGTGACGATGGCTTGATTACATGTTTCCGAACCTATGAGTGTCTTCTTTCCATCTTAGGTCTTTGGGTACCTTGTTTTTTCTCTCCATTTTCTTTTTTTTCCTTGCAATTTGAGGTCTTGTTTGCTTTAAATTTCGAATCTTGCTTTCAAAATAGTTTAAAGTTGCTACCTGTAATTCAATCCGAATTCCAAATCCCGAGTAGAGTGTTTAGGACTTTTTATTTTCTTTTCACGTGTGAGTCAATCGTTGCTTGAATTCAAGGGCGAACAACTTTCCTCAAGGGACACGACCCGATGTAGGAATTTATTCCGTACTCGGCCAAAAACTACAAAATAAAATAGCGCCGTTGCGGGGAAGGCGAGTATGCCATTGTATTTAGACAATTGATTGACTTCTTATCCGAATTTCTCTTGTTTTTTGTGAAATTGCTTAATTTTGCGTGTTTCTCTTGCTTATTTTCTTGTTTCATTTCTATTGTTATTTGGTGTTTGTGCCTTTGTAAATATTGTGCCATGTTTTTCGTGTTTTTGTGTTTTTCTTATTTTTGCATTGTTTTCGTCTTTTTCTCATGTGCCCTCTATTTGTTTGTTGTTCTTGTGCGAGGTAATTTGCTTTAGTAGTTTCGATGGATCCATATGGCTATTCTTATGCCGAAAGCTCGTCTCATGGATATCTCGAAAATTACCAAGAGGAGATGTACACACCATATAGAGAGCCGCCCCGTTCGTATCTGAGCTATTCAAAGTTCTTATTCTTTTGACAGATACTCTACTTCCCATGGGTATGACCCAAGCCATTCTTACCCGGCATCTCAAGTCGAATTTTGGTTATCATGTTCCGGGTCACGACGAGCCGCCTTACTACAATCCTCCACCTCCAGACTACTACTATTCTCCACCTCCCGATTATTATCAAAGAATACCTCCATCTTTGTCGACATGAGAAGCTTTTTCAAATCGTTGAGATGAGATTATGGATAAATTTGAGAAGTGCAATCAATCTCTTCGCGCTTCGATGATTCCCATGGCCGACAAAGAAGAAACCGAGTCCTATGCTCCATCCTCTCCATCATACGAGCACCAATCGATTGGCCAACCTAGTACATCGAGGTCCGAAGTTTCATTTT